ACTCGGGAGGCTGAGGCAGGAGAATGGCGTGAACCTGGGAGACGGAGTCTCGCTCTGTCGCCCAGGCTGGAGTGCAGTGGCGCAATCTCGGCTCACTGCAAGCTCCGTCTCCCAGGTTCACGCCATTCTCCTGCCTCAGCCTCCCGAGTAGCTGGGACTACAGGCGCCCACCACTGCGCCCGGCTATTTTTTTTCTATGTTTTAGTAGAGACGGTGTTTCACCATGGTCTCGATCTCCTGACCTTGTGGTCCGCCTGCCTCGGCCTCCCAAAGTGCTGGGATTACAGGCGTGAGCCACCGCGCCCGGCCAAGATTGTTTTAAAAACTATTCTTTTCATTAGTATCAAGTCAGTAAAATTAAATGAAAAATCTTTCTTTTACTGCTTAAAGCACTGAGAGATTTATATTGAGGAATAAGACCTTGTTTTCTTTGGCCCCAATTTCTATCCAAAGGGGCTGGGAATCACACGCTTCAAACTATAAAATCTCATCAGATGGGTTTTATTAACTCTTATAATGTGGCTCACTTTCTAACCCGATTCTGGTCCAGCATCACAGAGCGAAGAAGCTGAAGGAAATCAAAATATTTAACCCCTAAATATATTTTTTGACATATTTTGAAATGGCTGCTGCAGGGCCAAGAGATTGAAATGGCCTTCATCAATGTAGCCCAATCTCTACCCTTCTAGGTCTTCCCAGTTCTGGGGAAGATTAACTAAGAACCTGATGCATTTAAAATCTGAAAAGATATATTTATTCTCTATTTCCTCAACATATTTTGGCAGAATTTGGGTTTTTCCATTATTAATATTTTCCCAAATTATGTGATTTTTAATCCCAAAACCGATTTAAAATTACCATATGTTGGAATATAAATTACTCTATTATAAAGATACATGCATTTGTATGTTCACTGCAGCACCATTCACAACAGTAAAGACATGGAATCAACCCAGATGTCCATCAGTGATAGATGGGATAAAGAAAATGTGGTATATATACACCATGGAATACTATGGAGCCATACAAACGAATGAGGTCATGCTCTTTGCAGGGACATGGATGAACTTGAAGCTGTTATCGTCTGCAAACTAATGCAGGAACAAAAAACCAAACACTGCATCTTCTCACTTTTAAGTAGGAGCTGAACAATGAGAACACACGGACTTGGGGAGGGAAACAACAAACACTGGGGCCTGTTGGGGTCAGGATGGAGAGCATCAAGATCAATAGCTAATGCCTGCGGGGCTTAATATCTAGGTGATGGATTGATAGGTGCAGCAAACCACCATGGCACGGTACACGTTTACGTATGTAACAAACCTGCATGCCTTGCTCAGGTAATCTAGACCTTAAGATAAAATAATTTTTTTAAAAAAAATTACCTTATGGTTTAGCTTCTTAATCAGAATATCCATTTTCAGTTTGTCTGTTTTTAAGTCTCCATGGAAACCAAAGTCTTCATTTCCAAATACATGTAACATATTTATTGTCCTTTCCAGGAGTTTCTTATATCTGCAAAAATGTACATAGTTAGAAAGTCAAGTATTTTTAAGAGTAATTATTTAATAATTGTTTGAAAAGATGTTATGTTATGGCATATCAGAGAAACAAACCTATAAACTATGATCCTTTCAGTTTCAACTGAACATAGTTTGAAAGCATTCTATATGAAATTACAATCTTAGATAAATAATATGAAGAACAATGTATGGCATACATGGCAGGTAAAGTGATATTATAACCAAACATTTTGTTTTGTTTTGTTTTGAGATGGAATTTCACTCTTGTCGCCCAGGGCGACGTGCAATGGTGTGATCTCGGCTCACTGCAACCTCTGCCTCCTAGATTCAAGTGATTCACCTGTCTCAGCCTCCCAAGTAACTGGGATCACAGCCGTGTACTACCACACCTGATTCATTTTGTATTTTTAGCAGAGATGGGGTTTCACTGGTCAGACTGGTCTTGAACTCCTGACCTCTAATGATCTACCCACCTTGGCCTCCCAAAGTGCTGGGATTACAAGTGTGAGCCACCACACCTGGCCTAACTACACTTCTTGTAAATAAACTATTCATATTCATATCCATTCTTGTAAATAAACTATCCATGTTGGTATGCTAAGTAAAATAACCTATTACTAAATATAAGCCATAACCCAGAGGTGAGTAACCAAGATAAAAAAGTAAAACACATATGTTTGAAAAAGACACAAAAATACATTTTGATACCCATTGACTGCAGTCTATAAGAAGAAAAAAAAGTACACACAAAAAGCATCAAGGATCATTCAATGTAGAAAAAGAGAAGAAAATATCTTTAGTATCTGTGTTGAGGAGAAAAAGGAAACAGGCAGTTTTAGAAAAAGGGAAAGGGGCAGAGAGATGTGGGATGATTTAAAGACTTTGAAGAAGAGATCTAGAGATCTTTGCTGACATAATGTCAACAAAATGAAAGAGATACAAAACCATGTAGAGAAAGGCAATGTCAGAAAAATGTCGATTAGATTCAAAAACAAACTTAAGTGCTCAGTAAATAAATAGAGAAGTAGCTGTGTTCAGGGCTTCAAAGACATATTCCATTAAAAAAAAAAAAAACAAGTGATCAAAACGTGAATGCTCATTTTACTTTTTCTTTAAGTTTTACATATATTTTTATATATATAGGAAATTTATTTATGTAAAATAGAAGTTTTATAACATGTATACTTCATATATACAACGGAGGTACCGTGTAAAATAAGTAAACTTCCACGATATGTTTTATATCTAAAAGAAAAAGAAAGAAGCAGAAACAAAATATAAGCTACATATCAAGATAAATTTTGATGTTAAAAAATGACACAAATAGGTCTTTAAAGAATTTGAATGCAGCAGAGGATACTACAAAGGGAAGAAAAAATGACCACACACAGCAAAAATATCTTCAGAAATCAAAATTCAAGCTAGATAATGAAGAGTGTAGTTGACATTATATGTCCAAGGCTTTGTCATTGTTTTCAAAATCATTAAAGAGTAAGTGGCCAGGGGCGGTGGCTCACGTCACTTTGGGAGGCTGCGGTGGGGAGGTCAGGAGTTCGAGACCAGCCTGTCCAACTTGGAAAAACCCTGTCTCTACTAAAAATACAAAAATCAGCCAGGCATGGTGGCACACACCTGTAATCCCAGCAACTCAGGAGACTGAGGCAGGAGAATTGCTTGGAGGCATAGGTTACAGTGAGCCGAGATCGGGCCTTTGCACTCCAACCTGGGAGACAGAGCCAGACTCTGTCCCCCATCAAAAAAATAATAATAATAATAAAATAAAATAAGTATAATATTTTGGCATCCAAAAAACTTTCACCTTGCCCCAGCAGCTCAGCTGACTCCCGCCCCCACGACGCAGATGCCTATAAAGTTGTGTTGTGAGCTTGTAAAATAGATTTCAAAATAGAATTCGTTTAATTATGAAAATACAGACATAACGTGAATTTGTATCTAGGTTTTAGTCAAGTAAAATTAGAGTTAAATCAATTAATAAATGGTTAACATGTTCTACAATATGAAAAACTTACCCAGTTGCCTCTTGTTCTAATTCATGATTTTTCTCTCTTTCTCGATTCGCATGACATTTCAGTGATGATAGTAACTCATAAAGTTTTCTTAATTCTTCATTTTCTTCTTCAGTCTTAAAAAAAAGTGTTTAAAATTATTTTTGTAAAATCTAGAGACCCTCTTTTATCTCAAATATATTTCTCATAAGTGGATGAGTAATACTTATTTAGGCAGGTGTATAAAGTGCATTTTATAAACCTGATGCCAGGAAGGGCAGATTTCAAAAATAGTCACTTTTCTTAATACTGCTAAAAATGATTCATACTTTCATCGTTATCTTTTCCGAAATTTAAACTGCCAACAATCTTTGTTACAAATGAGGGTTTTTACACATAAAATACTAAGGGTTAGTAAAAAAAAAAAAAAAAAAAAAAAAGTAGTTATATATTTACATTTAGTTTTTAAAGATACTCTAGAAACATTGTCATTAATATTTAAGATATTCCAAGTTTTCTTAAATTACGTCTTACTAACACGATTTTTAGAAAACTCTT